ATTTCTTAGGAATTTCTACAGCATATAGTTTCCTGGTCTTCAGTGTGAAACACCGCAATCATTGGTAAGTTGTGTGTTTGGTTAATGATCTTGAATGTGTATTTATTAAGTCTTTCGTTCAACAGTGCTTAAAGCATTTCTTTTAAACCATGGTTATAGATCCGTTGTATTCTATTCTATTTTGTCATTCACAGGGCCATTAGCATGTCAAGACCTTTCAAGAATATTAGAAAGCTCTTAAAGCAATACAAGCATTCATAAAGAGATCATCTATCTATCATTTACTCCAAATCTGTGTGATGTCTTTCTTCTTTGCAACACAAAAGGGAAATAGTCTGAATATGTGAGATCATAACATAGCCTAGTATTGTGCAAGGAACCACACAAAAATAAGCCTTTATTCACTGATAATCTGCCCCTGTAAACATAATTTGTGTGAACTCATTTTGCTGCATATTCTGAAAGAATAAGTAAAACACCAACAACTTTTGTTTACACAAATTGTGATTACAGGGGCAGATTATCAATGAATAATAAATGTTTTATTGCAGTTTCCAGGTGTTTATTTCACCTGGAAATCCGCAGTGAAATCCTGGTATGAGATTAGATTAAAAACATGTCAAACAGTGGTCAATTATATAGCAATAATGAAACAGATGGCAAATGAACAGAATGTATTTGCACATGTCCTTGTCTCCTATCCAGCTGAGTAGCCTACCTGTTTCCTGGCATGGACCACACACCACATGAACATCCCTGCCGTAAATGACAGCAGGAGTATCCGATTCAGTGTGCTTGTGCCAGTCCCAGTGATTCTGATGGGTACATGTGCATACATGCTGTGGCAGGATCAGCCAAATGTGCAGTTCTGCATTGTTTTAATATTTGTATATCATATTCTCATTTAATAACATTTAATTCAATTACATATCTAAAAACCTGCAGATTATTATAATAAGGATGGGTCCTGATCCTGCATTCTTGTCAAGGAGGTTCCACCTCACACAGTGGCATAGCGAATTAGAAAAGGAGACTGGACAATACAATGACGAGAGGAACATTATGGAGCAGAATGACACGGGAGCATCTGGCTGTGTGACTGACATGACACAGAGCATCTCGTCTAGTCTGGACATTCTGCTGTCAGAAAACCTACACCTCATATGGCACATTAATGAACTGAGAAGCGTTTTGCAAGTACATTTACTTACGTTGTAGCCACATCAGATTTGAACATTCAAAATCAGTGAGCATTCAATGTCAATCCAACCAAACAAACAAACTCAAACTCTAGTTAAAACAAGACAAACCAGGCAAGAAGAATCCAATAACAATATAGAGCAATACACCAAAATACATATAGTATTGTTCCAGTTTAAAAACATTTCACTGTTTTTAAAAATCTATAGTACAATTGATGTGATGAATGTCATCATTGGGATGATTTAATTCTGTTTGATGTGATGAATGTCATCTACGTCAAACTGAATTAAATCATCCGAATGATTCACTCACCTGAGAAGTATACTTCAAAAGCCAAAAAAATGCTATTTGCTTGTTGAAGCAGTTGTGAACAGTCAGTCCTGCCTAGGAGGTTCTTGCACAGGCAAAGTATTGTCCATTAAAGAACAGCAGCATGATCCAAACAGCAGCTGGAGCGATGCAGGTTATAGTGGATGGCAGACACTTTGTGTTGCATTGTGGGCTTTGAATATAAAACATGAGTGCACTGGAGAACAGAGCAGGAACCAAAATATATGCTGCAGAGAACAGAAAGTTCATCTCTGGATTACAAGGACATGCAAAGTCCATCTCCACGAGTTTCTGAAGACCCACCATTAAAAAGACAATAATTGCATTTGAATAAAAAGGACTCTTCTTCAGCTGTTCTTTCAAGTGTAGACTAAAACTGAAAGTGATCGCTGCTAACTTTTGTGTGATGCAAGTGAAATTCACACCTTTCACATCGTCATATAAGAGTAAGACTTTCTGATAAGCTCTGTGGTTGTGATTGAGAGATCTGACTTTCTGAAACAGTTTCAAGACTGTACAGTGGGCACTTGGATAGCACTATAGATGAGTGGCATAATACTACAATTTGAGTGACTAACAACTTGCTAGAACATGTAACATACTAAGATAGATAGAACATGTAACATGCTAAGATAGCTAGATAGAAGGAACATGTAACACGTTAAGTGTAATAATGCCCTATTTAAAGAAAATCTAATATTTCTTCTGTTGATTGAAGTTTGTTAATTTGTCAGCAAGATCCTTTGGTGTCATGGAGTGATTTTTCAGGAATCTTAAAGAAGTAATGGGTTTTTAGGAGTTATGGCTCTTTAAAAGGCCTTTTAAAGGGTTAGTTCACCCAAAAATGAAAATTAGAACACAAATTACTCACCCTCAAGTCATCCTAGGTGTATATGACTTTCTTCTTTCAGACGAATCCAGTCTGAGTTATATTAAAACTTGTCTTTGATCTTTCAAGCTGTTTAATGCCACTTGTGGGTGTTGCATGCATCAGTCCACAAGAAGTTAAATAAAAAGCGCCCATCCATAAAAAAAAA